AATTAAAGAATAACAAATCTGCAAACTCCGACAAAATAAGAAACGAAATGATTAAAGCTAGCTTACCAACACTGCTACCTGTTTACCATAAACTTTTTAATACTTTTCTTAACTTAGGAACAGTACCTAAAAATTGGTGCAACGGTCTTATAACTCCCATATTTAAATCTGGCGTAAGAAATGACCCATCAAATTACCGCGGGATTTGTGTTTCTAGTCTAGGAAAGTTGTTCTTTTCAATTTTAAACCAAAGACTTCTTGAACACGTCACTTCGCTGAACATACTCCACAAGTCTCAAATCGGCTTCTTACCTAAAAATCGAACATCAGACCACCTCCTAACATCACGAACTCTTATAGACAAGTACGTCCACTGTCACGGTGAGAAAGTATACGCTTGTTTTGTTGACTTTAGAAAAGCCTTTGACTCAGTCTGGCATGACGGACTTTTAAATAAATTATTACAAATTGGTGTAGGGGGATGTTTCTATAAGTTAATCCAAAACCTATATTCAAACTCTTCGTGTGCATTGAAAATAGGTACGAGTCAAACAAAATCTTTTAGCTATTCACGAGGCGTACGCCAGGGCTGTATTTTAAGCCCCTTACTTTTCAATTTATACGTTAATGACTTACCGTCCGCATTTCAAAAAACTTTATCAGACCCTATCACCCTTCCAAATGGTACCAAATTAAATTCGCTTTTATATGCTAATGATTTAATTATTAAATCACAATCTAAAATAGGATTACAGAACTGTCTTAACACATTATCCTCTTTTTGCAACTCTTGGATGTTAGATATAAATTCCAAAAAGACCAAAGTTATGGTCTTTCAAAAACGAGCGAACAAAAACTCTAAACTAGAATTCCATATAGGTAAAGAAACCATTGATTTTGTCCATGAATGTACATATTTAGGAATCCGTATCTCCTCAACCGGTAATTTTAATATCTCACTCGAACACTTGAAAGAGAAGGCTCTTCATGCTCTTTTTAGTTTAAGAAAAGACACAAACTTTAGCAAATTAAAACCTTCTCTTGCTTGCAAAATATTTGAAACGATGATTTCCCCAATATTATCATATAATAGCGAAACTTAGGGTGTATATGTAAAACATGATTTTAAAGCTTGGGACAATACCCCAATTGAAAAATCCCACTTGAAATCTTGCAAGCGTTACCTAGAAATAAGCAATAAAGCTTCAAATGTTGCAAGTAGAAGTGAATTAGGACGGTTGCCATTAATTATTAATATTTATAAAAACATCTAAAATTACATATTGTATCTTCTGCGTAAAAACGAGGATACTGTTGTTAAACAAGCCTTTCGTACTTCGCTAGAACTTCACTGTAATGGTAAAAATAGCTTTTACCATAATCTTATGAAAATATCTGAATATTATGACCTCCCTGATTTTGATCCTAATAATTTAAGTGAAGCTAAGATCAAACACTATATAGATATAATAAAACAAAAATATATTGCATATTGGCAACATACAATCCATCATTCTAAGAAACTACAATTTAACAGCTTATTTAAACATGATTATAAAATTTCAAGTTATCTAGACTTAATTAGAAATTCTGCTAATAGGAAAGATTTAGTGAAAATTCGTATAAGTAACCACAAACTCATCATTGAAACTGGAAGATATAATCAAACTTCCCGCAATGATAGATTCTGTCCTATTTGTAACTCTGGTATAACTGAAGACGAATTTCATTTTCTCTTCCATTGTCCAAAGTACTCAATCCCAAGGGAGAAATTCTACAATCAAATCCAACAAAATTTTGTCAACTTTAATCCGGCTATCTTACACAGAATTAATAATTAAATTGATGAATTCACAGAATTTTTCCGTAAATTCACATTTGTTGAAATTTGTCTCATTATGTAATTGTCCCCGCCAACAACACATCAACAACACAGTTTGTTTTAGGCCAAGAGAGAAGTATATTTCCACATCCGAAGACACGAAATATAAATCAGGGAAAATCAAAAGAAATAAACTTCTCTGCCACCTACCCTGTCGCGAAGAAATACAGAAACAGGGAGGGTGGTTGGGAGAAAAACTGCACGAGGTAGAAAAAACAATATGACCTCTTCGAGAGTGATAAGAAACTGAAATACAATATAGCATGCAATATAAATTAACGCCTATGAATAGTGGGTGTGTCGCGTGCGGTTGTCAATTAATCCCTTTGAGCGGAAGCGCCCAAAGGGAAACAGTTGTCCCCGCCAACAACACATCACAGGGTCGTAACATGGTATATGGGCTCAGGGCTCAAAGTCCAGATATGACTGGGATCAGGGCTCAGAGGAAAGGGCTCAGGGCTCAGAAGAATGGGATCAGGGATCACAAGGCTTTTGAGCCCAAATCAGGGATCAGATTTATTACACGGTCTAAAAATCTCTTATCACAATATTTTTCCGCTTAATAAGGTTTGTGACCGTAGAATTTGCTGGCCAAGGTACATTACCTATTCTCGCTTCCGGCTGGCGGCAGTTCCTGTCATACGAAGTCCTGGGTGTTTGACGAAAACATGGTATCATATTCTTAATTTACTAATTGTTGAGGGCACCGTAATATAAATCTCAAGTCACTTTTCTCGATTTGTAACGCAACTCCTCAACGCGCTGTCAACGCCAGAAGGCAGATAAAACTATTTATACATATCTTTTTTTGCGAGAAATGGGGAAGAAGAAAAAGGACAAAAAGAAATCCTGTGACAGAGAAAGGTACGTAAGTACTTCCTTGACTGATTTACTCCTGACAAGGGTCCAAGCATAGAGTTTTTGGGCCGATCAAACATAACAATGCCGCCAGGACAATAGACAAACCGATTCATTGAAAGCGAAATTTACTGTATATCAAGCAAGTCATGCACAAGGTGACTATAAATCGAGGTTCGTATTTTTTGACCACTAACTTAACTCTTAAAAGTACTTAAATAATTAGAATGGGCGTCAAAAGTAGAATACAAAAGTACAATGAAATGGCGCGCTTTGTTGCAAAACAAATGCTTTCTCGCAATTTAATAATAAATCTGCTCTAATTACATGGAGTTTTAGGGTTATCTCGAACTCTGATGAGAAACCGGGATCGGTTCACCTACCAGTACTAGTATTGGGACGGGAAAGTAAAGGTCACATTCCATTACTGTATAACTGATAAACGCTTGTATGATAAATAGTCTGAAATTACAGTGTAGAATTAGTGAAAATAAGTGGAACACCAAAGACTTTCCTCGATCCGTGAAATACAAGTAACAAAACCTTTCTAGTTTAGTGACAATATTGATCTACAAGAATTTTTTCGGCCCTTTGAGCTATTCGGCCTCGGCTTATGTAATGGTTGGCCCCGAAAGGTATCACCACCTTAGATTTAATTTGGAGCCTGAATTTTTTAGTGGAGTGAGAAAACCCGCTCTGAACGACTACGCATCGCGGCGGCCCAGCTGCCTTTTAGAATCAATAAAGAGGCTCCACCAATCCTCGTTTATATTTTATACCGGTTGTCAAAGCCATTACACACAGAGAGCTCTGGGTCCAAAGGCACAGGAATGGCTTCGAAAGTCGCACGGCAAGAGTAAACCTTAAGGAGGATATGGACGAGGAAACGAGCGACAAAGGAAGGCATTGCAGAGCTTTGCGAAAGAATTCGGACGGGATGTACGACAGCAACGACCGAGAGGGAGGACCAAAGAAAGATCTGGTACACTTCCACTTGCTCTGAATATGTTCAGAAGGGATGCGTCGGCATATGGAGAAGATCATTCCTTTCTTTCTTGCAGTTCTTTTAAAAGATCTCCACCATAATGGTGACACATTCCTGGAAGATCACATGGGTTTGAGATGGCTGGAACAGTCAGAAGAAGATCCCCTTGTATACCAGACTGGGCACCGTGACGATAGCAATTCACCTAATTAAGTGTATCACCGGGAAAATTCAATTAATAAAAGATGGAAACAACTTCTGTTCGAGCTGCCATGAAGAGCAGCGCCTAGTTGCATTGCTCCGGGGGTCAATTGAATCAGATGATTCACTTGCGTCAGGTGGTGACGAAGAGGAAGGGGAACAAGCTCAGGCGGACAACGTTTCAGAGCCAATTACATTTGAAGCTGGAAGGAGTAGGTCTGGAAGACCTGCAACCAGATATGTCCCCTGACAATCTACAATGGTTATTAACCCAGGAAAAGCGATGAATGGGCTTGACACAGAAAAGTTTTTAAACTGTAGAACCTGTGGCTTGCATCATTTAAGGTAATTGATCGTGATCCTCACTGTAACACACAGAGTGAGAGAGGAAATTCAGACAAGACTACAACATCGACAGGGATAGCAGAATAGAAAGCTCTGATAGAACCTACAACTTGCACTAAAAATTAAAGTTAATGTTTTTCTCACCACCCATCTGAGCATCTTCTATATTCTATATTTGGAGATAAACAAAGTTGCCTAAGTTAAAATTTTGTGTAAAAACATGGATGGCATCAATTCTTTTATCAGGGCTCAGGGATCAAAATTTTTGGGAAAATGGAGCTCAGGGATCAAAATAAAGGCAAGAAAATAGGGATCAATGGGTCCCGGATATACCATGTTACGACCCTGAAATCAAAAGAAATAAACCTCCTTGCCACCAAAAAACCCGGCCAAAAACCAACCGTGTCCAGAAAGGATACAAAAAAAAGGCCAGCAATAAGACGATTACACATGAATAATAGCCTGTCGCAGTTGATTCGCAAGTGTAAGCTTAGATTCTAAACTAAATTCTAAATAAACTTTGTATGCATCACTAGACCAGTCACCATACAACTGGATAATTTCCCCCGGAATGCCGCACCTAAAGGCCCACGAGGCTGCTCCTCGTCGAAAAGAATGACCCCTGAAACTCTGGGTATTGGAAATCCCGGCCGTGACCAAATAGGAACGGAAAGCAGAAACAAAAGTACGCTTTGTAAGGGGAAAGAGGCCCTTGGAACCAAAAATGAGAAAAACAGGACACGATCGGCGAGCGGGAATTAAACGAATCATGCGTAAATAGGCAGAAACAGGGCATAACGGCGAATCGTGAATTCTAAGCAAAGGAATGTGGAGAGGACGCTCTCCAAATGGAATCGTTTTTGTACACTGAAATGTGACTAATATACCATGAGAAGTAACAGCCACATCACCACGGGTGAGATGGCGGCGAGGATCAAATGATTTCGCAGACTTAGGCACGATGTTAGCCAGACGAGCCATAAGATAAAACGTAAATAAAAAGGCACAAAAAAGAGTCCAAGAACGCGGATCACCTTCACAATCAAGAACATGGGAAATACTAAATAAAATAGAAGGAGTAACTGGGGGAGCCCTGCGCGGGGTATACAAGGCATTGCGAGCGATACCACGCAAAGTGAGGGAAAGAATGAAGTCTTTCGTGAAAGGGTAATCCGCGCCCGTAAATAAATGCAACAATTTAACGCCACTTAAATAGTTTCTAATAGACGCGGGCGTTAAAATACGACTTAAAAACTGCACGTAAAGACAAACGGTATCCAGCGTATCTGGAATAGGATCTAACTTGAAATATTGGCAAAATAGGAAAAAGGCCTTGAATTGAGTTTTTAAGTTACTGAAAGTTCCAGCACAATATGCGGAGCGCTGCGATTGCTTGAGATCCCGTCTAAGACGCCTGAGCTCCCTGGAGCCTGAAAGAGTAAAGGTCCAATGTTAGAAAGTACCGTGAAACCGGAACATCCCATCGGGAACGGGAACTTCTTGCCAATGATCGTGCTGAGCGCGCTGTAAGAACTGTGCCTTTGCTGATAAGGAGCACGAATCTCATCGGGAGAGAAGATCCGCGAAATGATTCGATACACCGGGAATATGCACAGCACAGACTTCAAACTCGTGAAGGGCAGCAAAGTAACAAATCTCACGTAAATAGGAATTCATGAAAGGATTACGACACCGTCCCGTATTCATCACAGTTACGGCCGCTTCGTTATCACAACGAACAGTGATGCGCAGTCCTGTCCAACGAGCTCCACATAATTTCAAGACAACAACGATTGTTAAAAGTTCCAAAGAACTGATGTCAAGGTTCTGTTCATAAATAAAAGGCGGAAAAACCCCATGGAAATACTGGTCATTACACACACCACTGCAGCCAGCAAGACACGCATCGGTCGAAAACACCGTATCCGGAGAAGTCCACTTAGCAATGTTAATCCTAGACACGCCGTTATACTACCTCAAGAAGCGACGCCACCAAACTAAGTCTTTCCGAAATTCTGCGGTTAAGTTAGCGTGATGATGATTATGCCTCAACTTGCCAAGCAGAGCAAGGATTCGTGCGATAAAAACTCTACTCTGACGAACGCACTTGGAAACAAACATTAACTCACCAACGAGAGACTGCAGAGCTGATTTTGTGGCAGTGCGCTTAGTAAGCCACCGATGCAACAATGTCTCAAGCTCACAGAGACTCTCGGAACTCACGGACTACGTAAAATTGTTCGTGTCTAGTTGAACGCCCAAACAAATCATCACAGGCGAAGGTGAAAAAGATTTTTCACTAGACTTTTAAAGCCCGAGCGACTTTAACAAATCTCCTAGCGCTTGAAAATCACTAGTTGCGGTACTAGGAGAAGAGACTCCAATAAAATCATCCAGATAATTGAACAAAGAGCGCCCCTGTTGTCGAGAAATCCATGAAACAGCTGATGTAGATCGCTGACAGGCCAGAGCCGCAGAACGCAAGCCCTTGGTAAGGACCGTATCAAAATAGAACTGATTGTCCCAGGTGTACCCAAGTAAATGATAATCTTTGGGATCTACTGGAAACTGACGATCTCTTTTTTGAGATCACGTTTGTAGAGCAAACAACCCGGACCCAGAGAAATTACTGCATCCACAATCGAATCAATGGTCGGATACGACAATGAAATGGGCTCGCCCAGGGTTGAGTCACTTGGAATTCCGTCGTTCACTGAGGTACCGCAGGGCCAGCTTAAATAGACAATAACTCTACGTTTAGCCGAATCCCGTTTGGGCACAGTATTAAGAGGCGAAACCACAAAGCCATCGGTGAATGGCACGGCGTCAAAAGGACCGGCAACCCTGCCGAGAGAAATTTCCTTCGTCAAATAAGCGGTAACTTGTTCCGAAAACAGAGGGGCACCGCGATGAGTCCGAAGATCAAAAACGGGTAATGTAGTGGGCATAAAACCAACTGGCCAGCCAAACTCTAAAAATTCACAAACAACATTGTCCTCATAATCTTGAAGTAGCTCGCGCCATGTAAAAATATTCAATGTGGAGGGTACAGTAAGCCTAGCAACTAAATAATTTGGTTTACCAGTTTGAGCCCCGAAATCATGAACATCCCGATAAGAATAACAAGCCGCACGAGGCGAAAAATATTGTGAAAAACTCGACTGTAAACTAGACCTTGATCGGCTAACAGACTCGGTACAAGCAAAGGGAGCAACTGCATCATGAAAACGGTCAAAGCTAGAAGATAAAATGTCATGTTCGACTTCCTCAGAAAAACAAGGAGCACATTCATCCACGGACTCAGCATGGTGGACGAAGGTGTTCGAGGTAGTTAGTTTTTTGTCTCCGAACTTGCAGAGGCAAGGGAACATTCGGACGAGCCAGCGCGATGGTGCTCTTGTTTTCGTGATTGCACCCAGCAGTCGAAGCAAATATGCCGCCATAAAATAGGTAGCCATAATGTGCTTGATTAAAAGAACACTGGTGCCGTTGGAAATCTCGACAATACAAGACTGTGGTGGAGGACGTGGAAGATCCTCCACTGGTAGATGATTTGGGCGTCTTAGGAAGCCCGTAGAGAGTACGGCTCTCTAAATGAAACAAGGAATCGCCCCACTTGAGAAGGCCTCGCTCGATCTCCAGAAGAACAGCCCCGTGAAAACTGAGTACGGCTTGCCACTCGTACTGCTGGGCAAAATACATGAGAGACACCAAATGCTTAAGCCGAGCGGAACGCTTCATCTCCGGAAGGTCGGGGGATTGGAGGATTTGTCCGTAACCCGCAACGAACTCCTCTAACGTCAGGTCATCATATTTAATATCACGACGAGCATTCGTGAGACTGAGGAAGCTATCCGGCCATAGCTGAGGATAAAGGAAGGTAGTCGTAATTTTTGACTCCTTCCCGGATTTTAAAGACTTACCACCACCATTTGACGCACTTGAGTCTTTGGCGCGGACGTGCGCGGGCGGCTTAACCTCGTCGTGGTCCGAGTCACTAGCGCTGGAATCCGCCAACCCAAGCTGGGCGACGCGTCGATCGGCTTGTTGGGACAAGTCTTGCATTGCGCGCACCTCAGGCAAAGTAACTCCAGAAGCCGTCGCCCCGCCAGTGCTCGTGGATGGAACGGGAACTTCCTTAAGCGACGACTGGTTAGTAAGGAGGGCACGCAGTTGCTTATTATCAACCTGGACCTCCTTTAGGCCAGTGGTAAGCGATTTTACAGCCCCTACCAGAGAAGCGAGAGTTTGCCTGTCGCTTGGGCTTGAAAGTAATTAAGTTTCTTGCGGTTCATCTTCAATTGGCTGCGAAGGAAAGGCGGTATCTTCTTCAACAACAGAGACATCAAGAAATTGTTCTGGCCCAGAGCAACTCTTTCCCGGCTTTTCAAACGTATGCTCCGAGAGCGGCGTCTTATTCCCAGTACAACGACAAGTTTTACCCATGATTAACAGAGAGAAAAGAAAAACTACACGAGGTAGAAAAACAATGTGACCTCTTCGAGAGTGATAAGAAACTGAAATACAATATAGCATGCAATATAAATTAAGGCCTATGAATAGTGGGTGTGTCGCCTGCGGTTGTCAATTAATCCCTTTGACTGGAAGCGCCCAAAGGGAAACAATGATTTACGTAATAATTTGTTATCAAATCATGTTGATGACACTTGATTGACTATATTAATCATTGCATTGCATTATCATTGTTATGATTTGTTTGTTTGTTTGTTTGTTGTTGTTTTTTTCTTTTTTATGTTAAAGCTTGTGCAATACTGTAACTACATAATTATAGTCATGCAAATAAAGCTTATGTTGTTGTTGTTGGGTAGATGATAATGCGTGAAAACATAATTCAGGATAGTCCGCCCCAAAACAACAACATTCAGCAACAAATTCAATTGTTACACCGATTTAACTTGCAATAAACCTTAAGAGACTTCTTCTCAAGTAGTCAAACGCTAAGGACAACAGTTTACAGTCATTTGCTTTCTCTGCCAAATACCACGTCCGACAAGCCTTTGTACTTTTACAGCCGGCTTTATTCGAAATTTTCTTGGTTAACTTGAGCGTTTAAACGCTGTGTATGTATTTCGAACATTATGATGTGAAGTCATGATTAAAGTCGTAAAATCCTTTTGTATACAATTCCACAATGATCATCAATAGGTTCTTGATAAAATGCATGACTGTCGACGTTACGAAACAGTCTACTATAAAACTGTCTGCTTTAATAATGGAACAATTTAGGCAACTGATAATGTATCATTTCCGTCAATTGATTAACATGCACAGAACGAGATCAATGTCTAACCTACCCCAAACTTTGATTTTGGCAAAGTGGTAGAAAATCCCGAATCGGCTTAAATGATAGCCTCAGGGGAAATTAGTGTACACAATATGTAACACCATACTAATCATGATTTTGAGTACCTACGCGACACATTTTAGCGAAAGTTTTATATTCGACAGCATTTTTTTACAACTGGATATTTCTAGAGTGAGTTTAGATCCAAATATGGATGTAGCCCATTGTTAATAAATTGCAGCGTGCTGGGTAAGAAACAAAAGAAATGACGCTCAAAGACAAGTTAACTGACAACATACAGCCTTAACTCACATTGAACGAATGGATTAGCACAATAATGAAGCTCTATATATTGAAGGTCGTGACTGCGGGTCAAACCAATGACAATAATTAAATTATATTTCATTCCAAATTTTTAAATAAGGTTTACAGTCACTTTTACTTTTTTTTCAAAATTGCCTTTTAAATGTCGTACTGCGGCGCATTTTGCTACTGCCGTGCTTAAATCAAAAGTAATTTCCCTTTGTGCAGAGGTAATTATTGGTTGTTGGATATCATAAATATGCAGACAACTTTACACTACACCTTCGCTTGCCTCTACTTTGTGTAAACAATTATCGTTAAATTAATGGAATTAAATTAATCGCATCAATGTATAGAACAAAATTTAATGTTGTCTTTTAAAGTTCTTAACTAAAAATTTACACCATACTTATTAATTTAATAATTTCTTTTGCATAATAAATAGTTTAGTGGGTAGTTCAGTGTTACTAGACTCAGACTAAGCGACTTTCGTTGAGGTCTTTGCAAACTACGTTTTTGACATTTCCGTGTTTCAAATTGTCTTAAATTGTGTTTTTTTGGGAAACAAACAATAATTAAAGTCATTCACAGTAGACGACAGCTCTTAGACAGGTCTTTTGACGACGTTCAATGATTTGCTTAAAGTAAGCTCCTACACGGGAATATAACACCCAAGGCATGCGAATGTTTTTTACTAAAATCTTCTCCTATTCGTTGAAATCCAGGGTGCCCAGCATAGAATGTCTATCAAAAAAAAAATAGCGATAATCATAATGATATTGATAATAATAATAATTAACAAAAGCAAAAGAAAGGTGCCAGAAGCTACTGCTAGAGCACAGCCCTTGTCTGATCTTCTGATCCGGTGCCTAACACTGCAGTACCTGTTACTGTAATTGCTGCAGGCAAAATGAAACTCCAAAGGTCATACAAGTTGAACAGAAACTCCTTGACAATTTTATCCAACTTCAAAGGTAAGCGCTAAACAGTTACATCCGCACTTCATCCATTTCTCTAGCGAAAATCATTCCTTATCTTGTCTCATGTTTTTAATGATTGGGTTTTTAAATGTATAGCCTGCGTGGCAGGCGTTCGAAAGGGAAGGAGAAGGGAATTAGGGCGCGAGGCTGCGAGCAAGGGGGAAGAGAGGAGAGGAACTCCTTCCTCCTTCCTCCTTTCTCGCGTGTCTTTCACGCTTCTCGCGCGCCCCAAATCCCCTTTCCCTTCCTTTTCGAACGCCTGCCACGAAGGCTATTAACTATACTCTACCTGGCAGCATTAAGGCTATGATCAGATCGGATTAGCCTTTATCGGTCAAACAGTCATTGCACCGACTCATCCCCCGTCGTCTCTCATGCAGTCTCTTATTAAATATTAACGAGAGAAGGGCGGGGAGTCAGGCTTCTCGTAGTCTGTCCTCAGCGATGTGATTCCTGTGTAGAAACGCTTTTGTGGAAGAGTCAGATCATGAGCGCTTTCACAATCATACAATTCTTGATGTGATGAGACAAATGGAACGTTCAGTTATCATTTCACAAGCAATGGAAGTCCAAGACCGGATTCTAAGATGCGACTTATTACATGTAGGGACAGGAAGCTGGGATGTTGTGGCAAACTCATTTTGTTGAGGCCTCAAATGTAATAAATGACCCTAAATGTAATAAATGTCCTAAGTGTAATAACTTTTGGCCCTAAATGTAATAAAGGTCCTAAGTGTAATAACTTTTGACCCTAAATGTAATAAAAGTCCTAAGTGTAATTCTTTCAGCTCTTTATATGCTTAGGGTCATAAGACGA